GAGGCTCCAGCAAGTCCTGCCTCCCTAAGCACTGAGGCTCCAGCAAGTCCTGCCTCCCTAAGCACTGAGGCTCCAGCAGGCCTGAGCAGCGCATGCCCTCAGCTGTGGGTCCCGCGCTCAGCGCTGGGAAAGGGCAGGAGGAGTTCTGGCAGCTGGGATCCGGTCCCCGTCCCCACCTCTGGTTTAGATTTGACCAAAACCTACGAACAAACGAAGCTGACCAAGGATGAGAGGAAGAGATGGTCGGTCTTGGCAGCGGATTCCCAGTCCCCTCCTTTAAACTGCACTTCGGGAAGACGCGGCTTGGGGGAAGTGGAGCCCAGCCGCGGCGGTGACCAGGGCACGTCCCGCCTCTCGTTAGCAAACGCCCTTCCCGCCCGGCTTCTGAAGGCTACCGCGCGGCTGGCTGGGGTCCATGTCGCGCGCTTCCGGGGTCAGCGGGCTCCCGGGCCTGGCGGGCCTGGGCCTGGATGATCTGCTCGTACTTCTCGAGCTGACACCAGAAACCCGGATTGGGTTCGGCTACCGGGCGGGCGATCTTGACAGTCTGCGAACAAGAGAGGAACCGAACGTCAGCCCGCGCTGGTTTCGCAGAACTCGGGCCCCGCCAGGCGAGAGCAGCCGCGCGGAAGGCCCGCCCTTGAGAGCAGGCCCCGCCCAGCTAGAAGGCCCGCCCCCGAGTGGACCCCGCCCCGGCCGGAGAGGCCACGCCCAGTCAAGCCAGAGGGCCTTCTCTGGGTGGGCCCCGCCCCCTACCCCCTACCGGAAGACGCACCCTCGAAAGCGGGCTCCGCCCCGGAAGCCCCCACCTGAAAGGCCCGTTCCAGGGAGAGGCCGCGGTATCGCATGAGGTAGGCAGTGCAGACAGCGGCTGAGCGGCTGCGACCGTTCTTGCAGTAGACCAGGCAGGCGCCACCGGCGCGCACCGCGGCCTCCATGGCGGCACAGGTGGGCTCCAGATGCACCAGCAGGTCCTCGTGCGGGTCGTCGAAAACGGGCACCCGCAGCTCGGCCACTCCGGGCGCGCTGGGGCCGGGCTGCAGGCGGGAGACGTTGACACATAACGTGATACCCGAGCGCTGCAGCAGTTCCGTGGCGCCCGCGGCGCGCGCGTTGCCGAGGAAGAGCGCGGGGGCGACGAGCGTGAACGTCGGCGGCGCGACCTCGGGGGACCTGCTGTGGGCAGCTCTTTCCGGGCTCATCGCGGTGACCGCCCCGAGGGTCTACTTAGGGCCGAGGTCCCGCCCGCGCCTGGGCCCGCCGGGCGGGGTTAAGGTTAGGGTCAGCTGCGGGTGGCTAGGGCGGGACCTAGCATTGGCTCTCTGATTGGCCGTGGGTTGGGCGTGGCCTGGCATTGACTCCGATTGGCCGTGGCGTGGGTGGGGCCTTGCGCCTGCTTTCTGATTGGCGGAAAGCGGGCGTCTCAGGACCCCACAGTGTTCCCTACTAGCTTGAGCCATGCGGCCCTGTGCTGGAAGGGTGGTTGGTAGACGTGGACATGGACTGGATCGAGGAGTAGCTAATCCAACACTGACCAGCGTCCTTCTGGCTTTCATAAGGACCTCGTGGTTGTCCTATGGGCTATTGACAGAAGGCCACTTGGTTTCCTGTGGGTTTTTTTTTTTTTTTTTTAATTCTAATCAGGTATACATGACAGAAGAATGCTCTTTGATTCATTGTATACAAATGGAGTACATTTTTTCACTTCACTGGTTGTACACGAAGTAGGGTTACACCTTCATACAATCATACATGTTTCTACGGTAATGATGTCCTCCTGTGGGTTTTTGTTATTGTTGCAGCGTTATACCTTTATCTATTTCCTAATAAATTGTCCTTTGTCATCTTTGAGTTTATGTCCCTTTTTATTGCAAAACATGGTTCATATAAAGTAAAACTATTTACCATTAGCTTTTTGTCATTTCTTCATAGGACGGGATTATTTCTGTTTTTCTTAATAACTTTAGGCGTTAGTCCTGTGACTTTTTAAACTTATTTAGAGTCTTTTAGGATTTCTTCATCCCAGCGTTGTGGCACATGATTGTAATCCCAGCAATTCGGGAGGCCTGACAGGAGCATTGCAAATTCAAAGCCAACCTCAGCAATTTAGTGAAACACTTTCTCAAAAAGAACTGTGGATGTTGCTCAGTGGTTAAGCACTCCTGCTGGGTTTAATCCTCAGTATGGAAAAAACAAGAAAGAGAAGATCTCTTCAGTCGATTTTTCTGATATTTAGTATTTCTCAGGGAACAGTTACAGTGAAGAGCAACTCATAGCCTCACAGACATTTAGTTGATTGTAGTTTCAATTTTATTGTAATAATAGTAAAAACAGTTCCTCTTCCTCTCTGTGCTTTTCTTAGATTTGAAATCATTCTGCCAGAAATCATTCTTCATCCTTCCCCCAACCTAGTCTTACAGATATCGCACAAAATGTGTCTGTACAGTCTTCTGGTGGTCTGCATTCTCTCCTGCAGGTACCAATTGTTGACAACTTGTCAGATCGTTATGGCAACCTGGGTCCCTTTTGAGCTAAATACTCAAATATCTTGAAGCCAATCTTCACTGGCTGCAGTCTCATTCCCTGGAGGCCTTACCAGCATCCATTTCCCTCTTCTCCATCCCAAGGAAGGGGCCTGCTTTCCTGGGATGAGGAGGGAATGGAATCCCCCTAGAGTTCATGGGATTCATCCAGTGAGATGGAGATTCCCTGTCTACCAGCTCCAGGAGAGGTTCTGATTGCTCCTGCAAATCAATGAAGGGCATACTCTTCACTGCTGCAGGATTAGGTCTGGTCTCTGATATGGGCCAATAGCAGGGAGGAATTGGGAAGGCACCTCTGTTCTCTCCTTAAGGCCCAAAGGGGAAGCCAGCTTTAGGTGAAAGCAAAGGAAATGGGGAAAGTTGGATCACAGCATCCAACCAAACCTGAACGCCCCTCGGCTCCTTACTGGAGGGTTTTTGAGGTGGGTTTTCTGTTCTAAAGTCTCCTACATCAGACTTCATTCCTGTACCCCACTGAACTAACATACTGGTCCCCAAATTGTCCCAAGTGCCACCACCTCCATTGCCATGCTGTAGTCTAAGTCACTCGGAGATTTGGCTCTGGAGCCCCCTCCCGGCTGCTGAGGTATAGCTGGAACATGCCTTCTGTGGGGACATTCCTGGAGATTTGTTCCCACTTAGCAAGTCACGGTGATTTACAGGATTCATTTCCTAAGTTATTAGTCTGCTAAATTTGCCAGGCTTGCCAATTTACCACAAACTTTAATGTTCCTAAATATTTTCAGTATATTAATATTATGAAAACATTCCTTTTGAACATATTTGTAGTGATATTTGTATCAATTTGTGGAACTAGAGCTCTTCAATCTTGATATGCCTAGTTTTAAAAGGCATTGGTGCATATACTTTATGAATATAAGCAAAATCTCAGCATTTCATCTTGAATTATCCCCATTGTGTAGAAGTTTCCAGAACACCTTTTCTTTTTTTGCCACATTGTAGTTTTCAGAATCTTTTCTAATCTGACCAAATTGTCAAATTCTTTCTAATCTGACCAAATGGTCAGGCTAGAAAGTTTGCCACGAAGTTTTTTTTTCCTCCTATTGAGTAGTGTATTCAATTCCTAGAGCTGCTGTGGCCACACCAGACGGTTGTCTCACAACAGAAATGTCCTCCCATTGTGTCTGTGTCTCTGCATCTCATAGGGACACTGGACATTGGTTGAAGACCCACCTAAATAGCCTCATCCTTATTTGATCACATCTCCAAAAACTACCTCCAAGAAAAGGCTGCATTCCCAGGAATGGAGGGGGTAGGATTTCACCTTATCTATTCAATCCACAACAGATGGTTTGGCTTCACAGATTTGTAGGGTGATTTGAAGTTTTAGTTGACTGTTTTCCTTCCTTCCTTTCTGTGCTGGGATTTGGACCCAGAGCCTTGAGCAAGCTTGGCAAGCACACTATCACTGAGCTATCCCCGTCCTTGACTGTTTTATGTCTCTCAATAACAAATGGATCTTAAACAACTCAGTTTGCCTCTGCTCAGCTCCCACGATGCAGCTGGAGGGAGGGGGGCACCAGGAGATGCCAGGGGTTGAACGGTCAAAAGTAGAGGACCCAGGAACCAAGGTGGGTACCGAAGGGCTAAAGAGGTCCAGGGAATAGACAGGAACTGGGAGACTAGAGCATGTAGGAGGGGACCCTAAGACGGCAGAGTCCTGGCTCCTCTGCTTTGGAGCCCAGAAAGCTTGCCTTTGGGGAGGCCTGGGGGCGTGGGCTTCTGGCAACCACCCCATCCTTGCCTCAGAGGGCCGCTCCTTGTTGCAGGACGGCTTCCCACCGCCGGCGCCTCTCCACGACCCAATCCAGCTCCTGTAACGCGCCTGTGGACGTACACTCCTGCGCACCCTCTGAAGCCCTGCTCCAGAGTCCCGGGTTCCTAAGATCTTCCCCAGGCCTTGCCCTGCACCAGGCTGCACACCTATTCCCCAAAGCCCCGCTTTGCAATCAGGCGGGGCTTGATCAAGCCTTGGTCGAGTCCTAGAATACCTTGGTTCTCGGCTTCCGCGGGTCTCCCTTTCCGCGTTCTCCCCCTCGCAGGTATTGGCAGTACCTGGCCCAGACTCTGAACCGCGGCGTTCCTGGGGACACTTGAAAGCCAGCAGGCTGGTGCAGCTACGGCTCTACTGGTAGAGGCGGGACCGAGGGTGCCGCCCCCAGCGGGGATTGGTGGGCGGGGCTGGAGGGCGGACCTAGAGAGGAGGGAGCGCAGCACCTTGCGGGGATTGGTGGAGGTGGAGAGTGGCGTGGCACGGGGCGGGGCCGTCTCCAGGGGAACCCGACGCTTTCCGCCAGCCTTGACTCCACTGCGTGGGCGTCCTGCTGGTGGCCTTGGTGCCCGCTGGTGCTAGTTCTCCCAGCTCGGGTGCGGCTCCAAGGGCCAGGGCGGTGGCGCGGGGCTGGTGTTGGAAGGGACGGTGGCGTCCCGGGGCGCGGGCAGACTTCCCCGTGGCTCCGACCTTTGAGGGCCAGCTGCAGGGACCACTGATCGGCCAGCGAGGCGCGGCTCCGGGAGGAGCGTGATGGCTGGACCCGGGCGGGGGCTGTGGGCGCTGTGGGCGCCCCCGGTATCCGCAGCATCCTGAGGGCGGATTGTGGTCCCTGGGTCTGCTTCCAGGTTCGGAGAACAGACACGGAAGGTGGTGGCTTCTAGGTCCCCCTAGACTACGCAGCCTCAAAGGCTTACAGCTCCAGAGGCGCGCTGGAGGAGCAGGGCGGCCAGTCCCCTGCTGCCAAGGGAATGGACAGTTACGCCTTCTTCACCGAAAGGTGCAGGGGACCCTCGGGCAGGGAGGTCAGACCATGACCCAGGGGCCAGAATTAGCCAGGTTTCACAGTTGGGGCCAGACTTAAAAATCACTAATTTATAAAAACTGGTCTCTGTAAAGAGAGAAAAGCCTCAAAATTGTATTAACAAGCACTGAGGGAAATGTCATATGTTATGGGTGACTGGAATCCTATGCCCCAACTCGCTGTGTCCCTTTTAGCCTGCAACACTGCCTGCCGGTCCATTTCACTTCCTACACATGGAAGGAACTGTTCCCCAAGTTGACACAGCTCCCTTACTGCTGTGTTGTTAACAGTAAGGGCTACTTTGGGTCAAGGGCTGCCCCAGAGCCTTATCTGTAGCATCTCATGAAATCCACCTGCAACTGACCCTATCATGCCTGTCTTTGTGTGGATCCAAGGCCTCTGGACCCCAGCATCCTCAAGTTGAAGCTCCAACCCCAGTGTGATGGTCTTCAGGGGTGGACCTCGGGAGATGAGTGGGTTGAGGTGAGGACAGGAGGGTGGGGCACTATGATGGGATCTGTGCCTTATAACAAGAGGAAAACAGCCAGAGCACTCGCTACTCACCCTCTCTCTGCCACTGAGAAGGTGTCATCTGTAAGCCAGGAAGAGAGCGCTCACCAGGAACCAAGTCCAGTAGCTTCATGACCTCAGACTTCCACACTTTAAACCTGTGAGAAATAACTGTCATTGTTTAAGACCTTACCTCATCTGTCCCCAGTCTGTGGTGGTTTGTTGTAGCTACCTCAGCAGGACTAACAGAGTTTCCATCTTATGGAGGAGGAGACAGACAATCAGGAAGGGTGAGGAGCCATATAGGCCAACCAGTGGGAGGTGCCAGACACAGGTGGCCATTTCCAATGACCCTATGGTGGGTTTTACAGCTGACTGCTTGTGTTACGATTGTCTTGATTGACCTCAAAATTATTTCCATTTTTCTCAGGAAAAAATAGAGTAAAATTTCTATTTCTCCTATTCCTACCATAGATTATCTTTCCCCATTATTGTTAACTTTTATTAAACAAGCAGTACCTATCCCGTGTAGAAGAATGAGAAAAAACAGGTGTATTAGTTTGCCAGGGCTGCTGTAACAAGCACCACACAGACCAGCTTTGGAGGGGGAAGGCCAAGGTCAAGGAGCCAGTAGGATTGGCTCCTTCTCTATCATTGGCTGGTAGATGATCATCTCCTCCCTCTACCCAGCCCCGTCATCTTTACCATGTCCAGGCTTCCCCCTTCTCATGGAGTAGGGCTCATCTAATGACCTCACTTTAAAGGATTAACTCTGTGAAGACCATATCTCCAAATAAGGTCACATCTGAGGTGCTGGGTTTAGGACTCCAACATTAAAATTTTGAGGGTGGACACAACTCAACTCAACCTGAAATAGCAGGTAAGCAAGAGAGAAAACAAACCCCATCAGTGCCCCATCCACTATCCCGTCTTGGGTGTCTGTCCTCTATAGTTAACAATATACCAAATGTAGAACTCGTGTTCTCAGCAGCAGAATCTCTTGTCGGCAGATAATATTCTTGGCCTCTGTGGGCCACAATTGGCATTCCAGGGCTGGCTGGTGGAGGGGTCAGGACCTGAAGGTTCCCAGGCCCAGAGGTATAAGCCAGACATTGGGCAGGTCTGTAGCCCAGATACCAGCTTACAGCATTCCCCAGGGAGTTGGGAGGGCGGCAGAGGGGTGTGTGTGTTGGGTATCCATGTCTAAATTATGATGTGTACCTTTAGATGGCAAGAGCAGGAAGGAATAAAATGCACCCTGTGCTCACCCCTGTGCACCTCAGAGTCCCCACGCAGACACTCTGCCCTCAGTGGTGCATCTGGAGGTGGAGTACCTGCTGTTGTGGTCGCCCGTCCCGGCAGGCGCTGTGCAGGTGTTTCAGCCTGTTGTTACTGCCTCCCTTTGCTCTCTTCCTAGGGATGGGACAGTGCCCCCCAGAGACGAAGGTGAGGAGTCTGAGGGCCCCCTGAGGGAGCAGAGCCTGAAGGGGACCTACATCCAGCTTGTCCAAGGAGTGCAGGAGTGGCAGGATGGCTGTGTCTACCGAGGGGAGTTTGGGCTCCACATGAAGCTTGGATATGGTGAATTCTCTTGGCCCACGGGTGAAGTAAGTACCTGAGCTGTGCTCCCACCACCTCCCACAGGGGCTAGGGGCTGGGCCTCTCTCCCAAGAACCAGGTGGTGGGAGTCTTTGGACACCTCCTCAGGAAGGATTTCGGCTGACACCTTCCTAGGGAGGATGCCCAGAGGAAAGTCCCTCCAGACTCCCCACAGTACATGGTTTCCTGGGGTGCATGGGAAGAAGTTTGGGAAACTGATTTAAGAAGACAAATTCTTATTCTGGGCAGATGTTTTAGAATTGTGAATTACTGCAGCAACTTGTATGCTTATACTGGTGAAATCACCTGTGTTCAAGATGAAACAGATGGGGAGCACATTCTTAGAGACAGAATGAGACACATTCTTGCACTCTGAGCTAGGCCATGCCCAGGACTTCAAGGGCTGAGACCAGGAGCCCAGAACCATTTATGTCTCCGGGTGCCCCTGGCTGGGAACAGTAGCTAAGTGGGCAGCAATTCTGGGGCATGTGCTGAGTTCTGGGGGCTCAGACCATCTCCCCTGTGGGATGTAGGGTCTTGAAGATGTCCAGGTGGAGGATTCTGCCCTGGCGGTGCCTAGCCATGGTGCAGTTCAGCTGAGACCTCATCAGGAGGCGATGCAGGGCTGTGTGTGTTGGGTGGGCTGTGAAAGGGTGCAGGGTGGTCCCGAATGCTGGAGCCCTCTGGGAAGGTGCTGGCTGGTGAGGCCTCATGGGGGATCACTGATTCACGGCTCCACCCATCTGTTCCTTGTGTGAGTCTGCCTCTGGATATCTGGTTTCTCTGACTTTTTGGCCCAAGGCTGGGGACACCTGGGCCAGCCCTTAATGTCTGCCCTGGCTCCCCAGCTAAAGAAACAGTAGGTGAAACAGGACCCTCTCAGCCCAGTTCCAAAGTCCTGGGATCCTGCTGGCTAGCTTCAGTCTGGTGAATGCTCCTCCTGGCACGTGTGGTCTTGCATGGGACCACAGCAGACACAGTTGTGACCACCTGTTCTTTTCAACAAGGGCGGTTCAGAGTATGGGTGTCACATGGAGGGTGGTCAAGCCATGGGAGGGATACACTTGTCCAGAGGAGAGCAGCAACGGGGAAAAGATCAGCCATCTCACAACAGAGTCTGAAGAATGGCAAGGTGTAGGGCCAGAAGTCCTCCAAGATGGCAGAGCGGGACTGTGCATGGAGCACCCGAGACCAGTGCCTGTCTACCTGGAGTGTGCCCCCAGCTCAGGGAGACCCCAGCCTCCTCAGGGCCCTGGCGGGTGCCGAGCCCCGGCACAGCCGTCCTCAGGCCTCAACTTGTTTTACTCACACGGTGGCTGCAAGGCCTGGTTCCTTGTCCACAGTCCACAGTTCGATCCTTCCAGCCCAGGTTTCCCCCAGGGATGGGAGAACATGGCCGGTGTGTTTAGGTGGGGGTCAGCTTTTCTACCGCTGGGGCCTGGGCCATTGGGTGCAGGGCACAGATGCGTCCAGCTGCAGCAGCTCTTAAACCAGAGAAGGAGAGGACAAGAGCACCCCTTGAGGACCTGAGCACATTGACTGTCTTTTGAGACACGTGTGTAGCCAGGTCCATTCTGAGGACCAAGGAGGGGCCGAGAGATGACCCGTGTTCTGAGGAGGACGCAGCGGTCTCTCCGGTGTGGAAGTGTGAGGCCCGAGAGCTGAGAGTTCCCCTTACAATTTCTTTTAAATGATTTGCACTTGGTTTTTGTTGGGGAAAGGGTGGACTCAGATAACCTGCTCCAACATCCTACAAATCAAGTGAGCCTTGGCAGAATGGTGACTCCATCCTGACTGCCTCCCTACTCACTGAATGTCCTTCATGGGCCAAACTCTGTCACTAATGGAACCCAAATTTAATCTAGTGGAATTGAAAAGGGTCTTTCTTGGTTCTTGTTACAAAAGTTCAAGGGTAAAGTAGCCTCAGGCTGGGCTGGATCCAGGAACTCATCATCCAATCAGGCAGGCCCTCCATCTTCCATCTTCTTATGGGGGGCCAAGACGGGCCTTCCACTGTCTGGCCAGTCTCTAAAGGTGGCTGCACATGTTCCTAAAAGAAGTCCCTAGCTGCAGGTGTGCCTTAGAGTCAGGTTATGTGACCAAACCAGTCCAGGCTGAAGCTGGGGTGAGGAGTCCTTGCGTGGGGCCAGGGTCACATGGGGGCCCGCGTCTGCAGAAAGGGCCGTCATTATGGCCTCCTGTGGGGCACCGCGTCTGGCTGCCTGAGAGCTCAGGCCCAGCCCCTTCTGACAGAAAAGTCAGGTCTAGCTGCTGGAATGCCCCGGGCTGGGTGTGGCGTCAGGAGTGGCGCTGAGCACACCCACTGGGGTTCATGAGCTGGGGGGGAGCACCCAGGCCCAGCCCCCGAGTCCAAGTCCTAAGAAGTCCCACCTCCCCAGCCATCCACCTGTGACCTTATAGGGGGCCCTGTGGGGTGGGGACAGGACTCCTGAGGGGGAGGGGGTCCTGACCTGTCCGTGCCCCAGGACAGACAGTCCACCCTTCCTGATGCCCCATCTCTAGCCAGCTCTGAAACCTCCAAACTCCCCACCTGCGTCGAAGGCAGGAGAGGGGCACGGTCACCAGGGGTCTCACTGCCAGGCTCCCCTGGTGCTGGGGGTGACCACTCTCATGCTCACGTTGACCACCTGGACTTCAAGGGGGGGTGGCTAGTGCAGCCCTGCAGCCCCACTCACAGCACCGAGGTGGAGTCTGGGCTCTGAGGGTCCCTGTCAGGGCCTGGGTGCCTGGGGCGGTGGTTCCCAGGCACTAGACCTACTGACCTCTCCACTTGACAGTCCTACCACGGGCAGTTTTACCAGGATCACTGCCACGGCTTGGGCACCTACATGTGGCCTGACGGCTCCAGTTTCACGGGCATGTTTTACCTCAGCCACCGAGAAGGCTATGGCACCATGTACATGAAGACCAAACTTTTCCAGGTGAGGGGCTTCGCTGCCAGCAGGGGGCGGGGCCTGCGTGGGTGGAGGTGAGGAGCAGGGCCCTGCCTTCAGGTGAGCCCTGGGTGTGCTGTGTATCTAGACTACTGGATACAAAGATATCTAGGTCTTGGCCGGGCACGGTGGCGCACACTTATAATCCCAGTGGCTCGTGAGGCTGGGACAGGAGGATCATGAGTTCAAAGCCAGCCTCAGCAAAAAGCAAGGCGCTAAGCAACTCAGTGAGACCCTGTCTCTAAAGAAAATGCAAAATAGGGCTGGGGATGTGGCTCAGTGGCCAAGTGCCCCTGAGTTCAATCCCCAGTACCCCCCCCCCCCCCGAAGAAAAAAAGATATTTAGGTCTTGAGGAAGTTTATTTACATATAATCATCCTTCTTATCTTAATGATTGTAGTGATACTAACAGTGAGGATATAAATAGCAGATGAAAACCTTATTTCATTTCTCAGAAGGATATTAGCAAGTCGTACATCCCCTAGATTAATGAAATATACTCTGCATTTAACTTTCAGTGTATAAACTGGATCATTCTATGCATATTATTTGAAACTTGCCTTTTTTCCAGAGAACATGCCTCGTCTTTCAAACACACAGGCGCTTTTCTCCCCTTTAATTTTATTGCAGTATGATTTTCAATAATTTTTTTTAATATAGAGTTCTGAGCCTTTGGACAAGCATGAGGCATGTAACCACTGCACAGAGAAGGATGGGGAAGGCCTGTCTCCCCCGCCCCCTCCGGGACCACCCTTGCCCTTTGTGAAGGTGCCAGGGGTGGAAACTGCCGTGAGCCCAGGAGCCCCCGGCCTCTGAAATTCTGCCTCATGGGCCTCTTCTCAGTCTGTTCCTTTCTGCATCCAAATAGTTTTCCATGCTATGAAGCCACCACAGCTTAACTCCTAAGTCACTGAGGTTGTTTCCAGTTTGAAGGGTTAGGATAAAGCTGCACTGGGCTGGGGCTGGGGCTGGGCTCCGTGCAGAGCGCTGGCCTGGCATGTGTGAGGCCCTGGGTTCGATCCTTAGCACCGCATAAACATAAACAAATGAAAAAAGAAATGCTGTCCATCTACAACTAAGAACCATCTTGAAAGTAAAAGCGGCTGTGAGCATATGTATTTGTGGGAACAAGCACACATTAGACCTAGGCTGGGGCTGGTGCTGGGGCTCAGTGGCAGAGCGCTTGTCTGCCATCCGTGAGACACTGGGTTCAATCCGCGGCACCACGAAAAAGTAAACGGATACAGTAAAGGTGTTGTGTCTCTCTACAACCAAAAACAAAGCTTAAAAAACGACAGGTTTTCACTTCACCTGGGCCTGGGCTTGTGTGTCATGTGGCTGGTGAATGCTCTGCGAGTTCCAGTGAACCCCCACTCTGCACCCCATGTCCCCACCGGCTCTGTGGGGGCTCCAGGTGGGCCCCCTGGGCCTCCGTGGTGCATGGCTGCTTCCTTCCCAGCAGTTCCAGCGATGGAGTGGCTCCCTGGGGGCTATGGCACGCCGGCCGCAGTGCCTGCCTTTGCCTTGGCCAGTCCTGCTGGGGGTCTCCAGTGCTATTCCTCTTTTCCCTGAAAATCAGCTTCTGCCTCTTCTCTGCATTTAGTTGTGTTTCATTGCCAGTTTCTTTATTCTACCCTCTGGATAATTTGCTATTCTTTTCTAATTCATTGACTTTCTGTTTTGCTTTTTATCTAATACACATGTTGGCTCTGTTTTGATTCTATCATGCTAGTGTTTACATTCAGTTCAAAACATATTGTGACTTCTACCGTGACTTCTCTTCCACCCAAGGGGTCTTTGACAGGAGTATTGCTTCGTGTTCAGAGTCTGGGCTCGGGCTGCCGTCAGGCTGGTCCCCTGGGTGCTCCTGTGCCTGGGGCTGGTCCCTGGGTGCTCCTGTGCCTGGGTGGTTTCAGCTCTCTGGGACCTGGGAGACTTGCTCTAGGACCCGTCCTGCCTCTTTCAATGTTTGTGGGCCATCCAAGGCAGGTGGTGCCCCTCTGAGGTTGTCTAGAACAGTGTCCCTTAGGTCACTTTTGCTGTTGGTGTTGTTCTAAATCTTATAGAAACTCACCAAGGTTTTTTGTAGGCTCATTCTACCTGTGACAGAGCCAGAATCTCCCACGATGATTGTCGCTTCTTTATTACTCCCGTAATTCTACATTGTATGTTAGATATTTGGAGACAATGTTACCGGATGAGGTAGAACTTTAGACTCATTGTATCTTCCTGGTAGGTTGAACATCTTATTATTATAAAGTAATAACTTTTGCTTTATGATCCAAAGTCTGATTTTTAGATATTAATAAGGCTGTATCAGCTTTGGGGGTTTATTTTTACTATGGTATGTCTTTCTCTATGATTTTACTTCCAACCTTGGTTTTTGTTTTGGATATCTCTTCTCTTTACTCTTAAAAAGTGTTTGTGTGCTGGGGTCGTGGCTCAGTGGCAGAGCACTCGCCTGACATGTGTGAGGCACAGGGTTCTATTCTCAGCACTGCATATAAATAAAGTAAAGATCCAGGGCTGGGGCTGGGGCTCAGTGGTAGAGCGCTCGCCTAGCACGCATGAGGCACTGGGTTCAATCCTCAGCACCACATACAAATAAAAATAAAAATATTGTGACAACCTAAAACTAAAAAAAAATATATTTTTAAAATTAAAAAAAAATCCATTGACAGCTAGATTTTTTTAAAAAAGTGTATGTGTGCGCAATAAAATCCTGACAGATCACATTCAAGAACATATTAAAAAGATAATGCACCACGATCAGAGGGGTTCATCCTAGGAATGCAGGGCTAGTTCAACATACGGAAATCAATAAAAGTAATTCATCACACCAATAGACTTAAAAACAAGAATAATATAATCATTTTAATAGATGCAGAAAAAGCATCTGACAAAATACAACACACTTTTATGTCCAAAACACTAAAAAAAACTAAGAATAGTAGGAACATAGCTCAACATTGTAAAAGCTATCTATTCTAAACCCAAGGCCAGCATCATTCTAAATGGAGAAAAATTGAAAGCATTCCTCTAAAAACTAGAACAAGACAGGGATGCCCTCTTTCACCACTTCTATTCAACATCATCCTTGAAACTCTAGCCAGAGCAATTAAGCAAAATAAAGAAATTAAAGGGATATAAATAGGTAAAGAAGAATTCAAACTATCACTATTAGTTGGTGACATGATTCTATATGTAGAAGAACCAAAAAAACTCCACCAGAAAACTTCTAGAACTAATAAATGAATTCAGCAATGTAGCACGATATAAAATGAACACCCACAAAGCAAATGCATTCCTATACATCAGCGATGAATCCACTGAAAAAGAAATTAGGAAAAGTACCTCACACATAGTAGCCTCAAAAAAAGAAAGAAAGAAAGAAATGGAAGAAAATCTCAGAAAATGGAAAGATCTCCCATGCTCCTGGATAGGCAGAATTAATATTGTCAAAATGGCCATACTACCAAAAGTGTTATACAGATTTAATAAATTCCTATTAAAGTCCCAATGAAATTCTTCATAGAAATAGAAAAAGCAGGGCTGGGTTGTGGCTCAGAGGTAGAGCGCTCGCCTAGCATGTGCAAGGCTCTGGGTTCGATCCTCAACACCACATAAAAATCAATAAAATAAAGGTACATAAAAAAAGAAAAAGCAATAATGAAATTTATTTGGAAAAATAAGAGAACCCAGAATACCTAAAGCAATCTTTAGTAAGAAAAGTGAAGCAGGAGGCATCACAATACCAGAACTTCAACTATACTATAGAGCTATAGTAACAAAAATGGCATGGTATTGGTGCCAAAATAGACTTGTAGACCTATAGTACAGAATAGAAGACACAGAGACACACCCACATAAGTATGGTTATGTCACACTAGACAAAGGTGCCAAAAACATTCACTAGAGAAAAGACAGCCTCCTCAACAAATGATGCTGGAAAAACTGGAAATCCATATGTAGCAAAATGAAATTAACCCTCTATCTCTCACCCTGAACAAAAGTCAACTCAAAGTGGATCAGAACTTAGGCACTAGAATAGAGACCCTGGCCTAATAGAAGAAAAGTAGGCCCAAATCTTCACCACGTCAGCCTGGGATCTGACTTCCTTAACAAGACTCCTAAAGCTCAAGAAGTAAAATCAAGGATCAATAAATGGGATGGATTCAAATTAAAAAGTTTCTTCTCAGCAAAGGAAACAATAACATGAGGAGAGAGCCTACAGATGGGAGGAAATTTTTATCACATGCACCTCTGATAAAGTATTAATCTCCAGAATATGTAAAGAACTCAAAAACTTACACCCCCCAAAAATCCAATCAATAAATGGGCTAAGGAACTGAACAAACACTTCACAGAAGACATACAATCAATCAGCAAACATATGAAAAAGGGTTCAACATCTCTAGCAATTAGAGAACTGCAAATCAAAACTACTCTAGGATTTCATCTCACTCCTGTCAGAATGACAATCATCAAGAATATAGGCAACAGTAAATGTTGGTAAGGATGTGGGGAAAAAGGCACACGCATACATTGCTGGTGGGACTGCAGATTGGTGCAACCACTATGGAGAGCAGTATGGAGATTCCTCAGAATATTGGGAATGGAACCACCATTTGACCCAGCTATCCCACTCCTCGGTTTATACCCAAAAGACTTAAAATCAGCATATTCAGGGACACAGACACATCACTGTATATAGCAGCTCAATTCACAATAGTAGACTATGAAACCAACCTAGGTGTCCTTCAATAGATGAATGGATAAAGAAAATGTGGTATATATATATTCAATGGAATATTACTCAGCTTTAAAGAAGAGTGAAATTATGGTATTTGCCAGTAAATGGAGTTGGAGAATATCATGCTAAGCGAAATAAGCCAATCCCGAAAAACCAAAGGTCAAATGTTTTCTCTAATACGGGATGCTAATTCACAGTAAGGTGGGGGAGGGGGAACTAGAGAAGAATAGCTTTA